CGAAGATTAATTCGTCTCATAATTGTGTTAATAAATTATACGGTGAATGACAACTATGCATTTATATGTGTGTGAAAATTTCACTACTAACTCGAATGGTTTGTAAATAATTGATGACTGCGATACAATATATATATATATATATACTAAGAGTAATTTGTCAATTAATTCTTAAGGTGAAGTGTACTATGGTGATCTTCACTCTACTCCACTCCACTCCACTCTGCTTCCCTTCACTTAACTTATTTTAATCGTTTTTATTGATTTTTTTCTAAAGTGTTCATAAAAACCTTTAAATATTCATTCAAATTTGAATTATATACATATATGCACACACTACGTATGATTCAAAATTCATTTGGTAGGCTGTATGTACGTACCTTTTTCATTCAAAAAATTAATAAATAAATAAACCCATAGAAAATTTAAAAAAATACGGTCAGTTTAAAATTTTAAAACGATTATTTATATTTATATACATATAAATATATATATACGAAAGTCACATGGAGTTTATATCAAAAACTAATATATAAATAAGCGATTGAAATGCTAATTGTGATGTATGTGATGTTGTGATAGGCGAATGACGGTGACGACCGAGGAATTTTTTCATACATATTGATTGTTATTTGTGTATGATGCCTTGTTACACCTTTAGGCATAAGTCTAACCTAAACAAACTGGTGGTTAGCACCCACGAGGTGTGCAACATAGATGGCACTGAAACAGTGACGAAGTCGGAAATTAAATATCTTGGCCGTCATTCTATCCGCTGATCTCTCCTGGTCGTCTCATATCTTGATGATTTCTAAGGAAATATTCCGTCTTACCTTCTACATCAAGAGGTTAAGATATTCTGGAATAACTCAACCCTTACTCTTACAATTTGTCAACTTTCGCATTCTTCCCAATTATTGTCTATTGTTTCCCCTTAGTTTTTCCTGGGCTTCTGAAGAAAGACTATATCTTGTTACGTAGGATGTTAAAGGATGTCAGCAGGGTAAGCTACGTGCCACTTAACCAGCTTGTTAATACTCTGGTTGACAAGCACTTGGACTCATGTGGAAAATGGGCTAAATCCATTCTATCTATCTAACTCACACCACCACCCTCTTCATTCACAACTCTCCCCTTGTATCTCTTCAGGCAGAACCAGAAGCCTATATAGAAAACTATATGCTCGCACTAGTAAGTACAAAAACTCAATCATACCCTACTTAGCTCGTGTTCTGTGCGATAAAGAAAGCATTAGGCATCTAGATACCTATAACTTATTGAATAGTTAGTAGAACAATTGGATCTCGTCTTTCCAACTCATATAATTTATGAGTACAACGTTTTCTTTCTTTTCCTTTTCTCCCTCTCTTTTTCTTTCTTCCTTCTGTTATTTGCTGCTTTGTTTTTTCTTTCTTACAAACTCTATTTAAAAACATTCTTCTTCGCTCTTTCACACCCTGTATATCTCGACCGTTTTGTTACCGCTTACGCCAGTAAATATGCTGGTATCTGCTTTACTAACGCCTTCAAACACTCTGTTCACTTTTGGCTTTGCTACCGACATGCCAATATGTTGTTGTCATAATGAACTGAGATTACCCATAATCTGCGTAGAATTTTATTTATTGCTAATGTACAAACTGGATGCAATACTGTAGTGAAATGCTGAGAACTCCATCCTGTATCACAAGTACTATTTTGGAATAAAGCAAATTATTACTATTATTATATCAGATGATGATTAGGTTATATTTGATGTATGATGAAGGAGGTGGCTTTGTAAATACGATAAAATAATTCAGTGTGTAATGCGATGTATAGTTGATTCAGGGTCGTAGAGCTTAGAATGTTAAAACATTGGGATTCTGGTAGTCTATTCAGTTGATGCGTCTTAAAAAACTTGAAGACTTTCAGGTTAAAACCAATAGACTGGCTGAAGAGGTAGGGCGGTGAAGACAGGATTTCAGGGGAACATAAAGAATACGACAGTGATGAAGTTAACCAGCCAACCAACCAACGACAATAACAGCAGCCAGAACCAGTCACTACCAACAGGAGAGATTTAAAAGAGGTAGCTTCCATCACTTACCAGGTTAGGCAGCATTGCCTCAACTACACCCTACAGCACGAATGAGGAAAAGCCAAGACAGACCTTCATAAAGAGCAAGATTCAGATTTCCAGCACAAATGTGAAGTCTGTCAGTCAGTCAGTCACCACTTCTTCCATATAGGTGAGCAACTTTCACTGTGAGTGAGTCATGAAAATCATTTCCAACAGGCCAGTGCAGACTTTTATCAACAGCTTCGGCCTTCGACGACTTCATAATGAAGATCAAATGACCGACTAGCTGGTTAGATGACTAGAAAGAATTAGCAGCGAACAAAAAAACTCTGTCAATGAACAAACTAACAGTCGAGAACCTAGTGATCAACAAATATGTAGGAAATATTCATTCAGACATCTATGAAACACAAAAAACAATAATTGAGCAAAGAGTATCCTTTGAGATGATTTCCTCTTCTGGCTCTACAATTACACGTATATGTCTTTATATACATGGAATATTCTAGAATAGTAGTCAATAATAATAAGCCGTACAGTTTGTCGTGTTTCTCATCGGATTTCCGAACATCACTCTGCATAGTGGTTAAGTAAAGGACAAACCGAAATCTATTCGTAACGATATTCTATCTCATCTTGTGGATACAGAACACAAGATGATTGATGTTAACGAGGCCGGTTTCAAAATCATTTACCGCATACCAACATATCCTAATTTCGCCTGAAGAGTTCGATTACTAAATATTTCTGAGGCTAGCCGTTGGGATCCACATTAAGAAGCCTAATTTGTACGTACAAAAGAAGTTTTTCAGACAGCATTCTTACCTTGGCCATCTAGATTTGAAGGATCCTCAATTTTTGTAGAAATTTCCTACTTTTAGTTGATATTCTAGATGCTATTATATTTTTATTATTATTATTATTATTTAAATATCGTTAATGAACTGTAATTCCACCGTGATCTTACTTTACAAATCGATATTATTTAAAAAACACACTAATATTTTTTATTGACTACTGATCTAGAATATTCTATGTATATAAACATATAGATATATAGCTGTAGAGCGAGAAGAGGAAATTATCGAAAAGGATATTGTTTGCTCAGTTATTTTGTGTTTTATAAATATGTGGAAGACAGTGGAGATGGATTCCGTTTGTCTGCCTTTTTTTGAACATAGAACTTCGCAACGATATGCAGCAGTTCAAGTCACCACACTCCATGCAGCACACAAAGCTAGAGAAGAAAGTAAAAGAAATGCATAATAGAGACAGTAAACAGAGGTGTGAGACAAAGGAATAGTAGTAACGAAGAACAATATGGTTTCATTGGAAATCGTAAGTCACAAGGAGTGTATGTATCTGTGCCATTGAGAACAATCAATTTGAGCCATATCACCAATTGTTTCCAGCCATTGGTTTTTACCGTCCCGAGGACCTCAACCAGGAAATCTAAATCTTCCTAGGTGGCTTAAACTAACTGTTGTGGATTTCATTGACTAATGAAGCCATGTTTTGATTTAACCGCCACTAGCTCTTTTCCAGACTGACCGTATGTCAACTAACAATGCCCAATGTCGAGGGAGGTGATGACTGGGCATGCATACGTAACACATGTCCTAACCATCTCAGTCGATGTAATTTCACAGCCTCGTCGATTGATTTCACCTCCTTACCTAGCTGACACTCGACTGATGCCTAACCTCAATATTGCTCACCCTATTATACCACTTAACACGGGAGATAGAGCGCAGGCACCTATGATCAAAGATAGCTAATCTTTTCATGTCTTCTATTCTCAATGGCCTGGTCTCACAGACATAAAGAAGTTCGTTGGTATTACTTGGTTTTTGTGTCCTATTACTTAAAAATTTTACCAGTCCCATTTTTAATGACATTGGATGGGATGATCGGAAGTCCATATATCTGTTTGAATGTGTGGGTTTCCTGTCAACATTAGTATTTAACTTCCCATTTTCTTTCATTTTTTACGCCACAGTCTTACACTGGAAGCTCCTCTTCTTAACTTTCTGATTTATAAGTGAATTGAATTGCCTCTACCTTCGAGTTGATTTATTCGGAAAATCTATTTATGTTCTGTATTCTAAGTACAGTGAATGTATCATCTACATACCTCCACCATACATCTGTCCGGTGCATTTAGAAAATTCTACAACCCCTTCAATGAATATGTTGGAAATAAAGAAAACTATAAAACAAAAGTTTGACATACACGTCAAACATGCACAGAATAATGACAACAACAACAACAATAAGGAATTTAAATTGTCAGTAGTACTTCCATAGAAAGAAAGGAACCTCGGAAACGACCTTACGCAGAATTCTTAATAAAACAGGCAGGAATAAAAGTGACTGGCATTCAAACTGCTCACAAACTGAATTAGAAACGGACTTTGTCTGTTAAATGGTGGATCTTGTGGAGCCTATTAAATGAAACAATTTAGCTTATCTAAAACTCTGCGGGAATGATTGTCACATGGATCAGAGTAGTAGAACAGGGGCAGTCAGACTAGTGGAGCACAGATAACCAGCAGCGAAATCTACATTAGCCCCCCCTTAATAAGATGAGAAGTGAGTCGGTGGCATAGTGGTTAGGATGCTCGCCGACCATGCAGGTGGTTCGGGGCTCGATCCCCGGCCACAGACGCACTCCTTTACCTCGCTAAGCCAGTATTTAGACTAGTGAAGAGGGAAGGCTGGGCATGAAGGGGCTAGCGACCCCATCTCGTAAAAATAAACACCACTGCTACAGAAACTTCAAGCCTCCAACTTAAAGCTCTATGTTCCACTGGGAACGTAAAGAAATTAAAAATTAATTAATTAATAAACAAATTAGTATACAAATAAGGTATAAGCGTGTTGAATAATTTTCAAAGCAAAAAAAAAAAAACCAAATTAATCGATTAAATAAACTTACTGTATTCATTACACTGAGTTTTATTCAAGCATGTACGTTTTTCAGCATAATACTTTGATATACATCGTGTTGTATGAATAAGATTCGGTGATAGTGTTTTCCAGGAATCATCTATACACTTACGATAACGTATTTCAATACACTCCATAGGTAGACATTCTTTCCATTCTGACCAATTACTATAACGTTCTGTATTGAATACATAAATCTCTTGAGATTTAGGTCGTGTGAATCGAAAATTCCATGGGAAAAATTTTTTAGTAAGATGTTTTCGTTTCAAAGACTATATATAAGAAGAAAAACAGTATGAATGTATATGTCAGTTAGTATTAGACTTCATAATGAAAAGAGACATGTTGATGAAGAAAATGACGCCATTACTTCTTACAGAAGGCTGTTTACATTATTATTATTATTATCATTCCCTTTCGTTCCGAGGGGAGCATAGGGCTTCAACAACACACGTCTCCATTTCTTTCTGTTTCTTGCCGCCTTCTTCATCTGGGTCTACGATTGATCAAACACTCTCATCTCTTCCTCACACGATCTCCTTTATGTCACCCTGGCACTAACGACCCGCTCGTTGCCTTTCAGTGGGATACCACTCGAGGGCCCGGCGTGAGATGTAATTCGGCAGCCTCGTCAACATATGCGCGATGCATCTCCAATCTCTCTCCTACTTATTTGTTGAGCGATGGCCTCTTGGTTGGTTTTTTCCCACAGCTTTTAGTTGCTTATTCTTTCTGGCCGGCCATCTGATCTTCAGTATGAAGCCAGAAAAGGCAGCTGTTGATGAAAGCCTTCAACCTGTTGGAGATCCTTTTCTTGACACGCCAAGTTTCTGACTCGAATAGAAGAACCGACTTTATATTGATTTTGAAAATGAGAATCTTATTCCTTATGCTGAGTGCGGAAGATTTCCAAACTGGTTCCAGGTTGTTTTCGCTGCCTTTTCAACCAGTTTGTTGGCTTTCGCTTGCAAGTCTTCGAGTTTGTATGACATTAGACATAGATCATCCAAGAAATGCAGATCTAGAGTCTGCTTATCGATCGTTCAGCGTTTTCCTATCTCCTCGCTCTCCACAGTCTAACGCGTAATCCAGTCCATCACAGTTAAGAATATGATCGTCAGCGATAATAGGCAGCTAGCTTTGTCTTACTTCTGTATTCACTTCAAACGCCTCATTGAGTTTTCCGATGTGGATCACTTGACACATAATACTGTCACATAGCTGTTGAATGAGGTTGACAAAGAATTGAGGTACGCTGTAGTGTTGAAGTAGCTTCCAAATTACTTCTTGGTTCAAGCTGTCGAAGGTCTTTTCGAAGTCAATGTAGTTGAGGCGGAGGTTTGTCTGCCATTCGATGTTTGTTCGATGACGATGCGTAGAGCTGCAATTTGATAAGCACATGATTTACCATTCCCGAATCCAGCTTGTTCCGGTGGGGCAGAGTTCTGTATCCAATACAGCCTTTATTCTCTCCAGGATAAAGTGACTTAGTGTTTTACTTGGTGTGGATAAGAGCCACGCCAGTCAGTTCTTGTACAGGCCTAAGTCGCTCTTCTTTGGCAGTTTGTCGAGGTAGCCCTTCTTTGAATAGGTGCGCACTTTTCCGTCTTTCCAAATTTTTGCAGTAATAGAGTGAGAACATCTGCCGTAATCTCCAGGGCTGCCTTCAATACTTTAGGGGGAATGCTGTCTGGTCCTGCTGTCTTCCAGAACAGACTTCAGTGGCCTGATCGCATTCAGAATCTCTTATTTCGTTGGAAGAGTAGTGTGCACTGCCATTTCCATGTGTGCTGATGGTGGCGTCGTATTTTTAGGCGAGTTGTCGGTTGTGGTCGATCCAAGAGTCCTTTAAAGTGATCATCTCAATGTTTAGAATACACGCAGAATTAACCGAAGACACTGATTCCACACACAAACACTACTTCACCCCTCTAACCCATAAGGTTTAGTCTGTGTGTTTCTCGAATCCACTTATTATTATTTATTATTCTCCTCTTGGATTCCTAGTGGAACACAGCACTTCAACTGCACCTCTCCACTGGCTCCTGTCTTCTGCTGTATTTTTCACCTGCATCCATGTTAGTCCATACTGTTTCAACCCTAACCCTTGCACTGACGTCCCACTCGCCACTTCTCTTTTGAGTTCCACTCGAGCAATGGCCTGACCGCGAAGTAATTTGGAAATTACTCGAGTACTACGGCGTACCCCAAATATTCATCAACCTTATTCAACTGCTGTACGACAACGGCACATGTCAAGTGATCCACAACGGAAAACTCAGCGAGGCGTTTGGAGTAAACACAGGAGTCAGACAAGGGTGCTTACTATCACCAATGATATTCCTAATTGTGGTGGACTGACTGGATTATGCGTCAGACAGTGGGAAAAGAGTAGACAAGGATATCCTGGACCGACGTGAAGAACCTAGAAGACCTGGATTTCGCACGTGGATGTTTTATGTTTGATGTTACTGTCACAAAATCGAAGACTTACAAGTGAAAACCGACAAACTGGTCGAAGAAGCAGACAGTGAAGACAGGACTCCAGGTGAACATAGACAAGACGGAGGTTATGAAAATAACCAACCAACAACAGCAACATCCAGCGCCAATCGCCATCAACGAGAGGGATTTGAAAGAGGTTACTTCATTCACTTATCTAGGCTAGGGAGCATTGTCTTAACTACAGGCAGTTGGAACGGATGAGGATGTTGTTAGGAAGAGGCAAAACACATGCAGTTATCAAGTTATTATCATGTCGTTGACATGCATTTGTTTCTGCTTTCTGATTGGACGCTTGCACAATTCGAAACTCTCAACCGGATTGGTTGATTTCCAGCCTACCTTATTTTTGTATAAATAGTCACTTTTGTCATAAATAAATGATCCTGGTCTTACCGCTGATTCTCGCGTGTTCTGCTTTACCAGTTAAGTGGGCACTGGTCAGTAGTTAAGCACTTACCTCAAGACAAAGATCTAGCATCATAACAGATGTCAAATCGAGCGAGAACACATTCATCAACATGAAACCAATCTGGAAATCCGCATCACGTCACTCAGCATCAACAACGAAGTTCAATCAGATTTTCAATACAAACGTTAAGTCAGTCAGTTCTTCTATACGGATCAGAAACTCAGTGAGTCACAGATAATATTTCCAACAGCCTGTTGCAGACCTTTATCAACCAACAACTATCTTCGCTGGCTCTATACTGAATATCAGATGGCCTGGCCGGAAAGAATCACCAACAAGAAACTATGGCTGGGAACAAACAAAACAAGAATCAATTGCTAACCAACAAATATGCAGGAGAAAGCGGAGATGGATTGGACACTCGCTGAGGAGGCCGCTGGGTGACATCATGCGCCAGGCCCCCGAGTGGAACCCAAAAGAGAAGTGGTGAGTGGGACGTCAGTGCAAGGGTGACATGTTGGAGATCGTGTGAATAGCAGTTGAAACAGTATGGACTAACATGGATGCAGGTGAAAAGTACAGCAGAGGACAGGAGCAAGTGGAGAGGTGCAATTGAAGTGCTATGTTTCACTAGGAACCCAAGGGAACAAGAATAATTATAATAATATATTCATCATCAGAACTCATCAAAAATGGTCACTGGAAATTTCAAAAGACTGATAACTGAAGAAAATTATTCTTCACGATGACCCCTTCTGCATCAGGCTTTTAAATTTTATGTATTCATAGCGATGAAAGTATTAGGGTTATTAACAACATTAATGTGTTGTTTACATAACATCGAATCAATCAACATCATCAACTGATTACTGTTCAATAGCATCTGTGTAAGCGTGACAACTTGCATCAATATGACACTACACACTGAATATCTGACAAATTAAGAAAAATAGTAATATTACAGAACTCATGAATTCATAGGCTTCACAGAAGGCTGGCCAGGGCAATAATAGTGACAGACTTGCTAGCTGGACCTGTTTCTTCTGCACACGCACACACAGAGCACCGTTTGTTTTAGGTGAATCGCAATAGACACTGTAATTAGTAGCCTTTGGTACCTAGATACTTTTGGCGGTTTATTTGCTACTCGACAGATGATTATGGAGATGGATTCTTCACTCCTAGCTGGCTTACTGGCGGGTGTGGAGCAGCTGGTCTATTTAGAGCAGCTGACGATGGTTTTCAGCACACCTGTATTCAGCTACACCACACTGATAGGTGTTCCCGACTATTTACAGCTAGACAAGAAGCATATCTACAGCTAATGATCAATGCCTTACAATTTTTTTGTCTGGAGTTCCACAGACACTTGACATTTATTCGAATTCCTACAATTCAAGCGACATAGCTCCAGTGTGAAGTCAGTGCTACTATACGGATCAGAGACTTGGCGCCGTGTCATGAAAGGCACCTGAAACAAACTACAGACCTTCATCAACAGCTGTCTTAGCTCAATACTCAAATCAGATGGCCAGCCAGAAAAGATCAGCAACAGGGATCTCTGGCATTGAGCGAACCAACCAGGAACTGATTGTGCAACAAATAAGCAGGAAGTAATGGAGGTCGATTGGCCATACTTTGAGGAAACAAACCATCAAGTGACATCACCAGGCAAGCCCTCGAGTGAAACTCGAAAGGGAAGCGGCGAGTTGGTCGTCGATGTGAGGGTGACATGGAGAAGGTCAATTGAAGAGGTGATGAAAGTATGTGGGAATACGTGGAGCCAGGTGAAAACGTTGGCAGAGAAAGGAACGCAATGGAGGCGTTCGGCTGAAGCCCTATGTTTCTCTAGGAACTAAAGGAAACAGTAATAATAGTGCTTCGTTTAAATCTAGTAAAATGTGACCTATATTAGTAATGTTTACTCCGGAGCGTAATTAAAACATTAACAGCCTGCTGATTCGCAAGCTGATACCACTAAACATGAGAAAGAGCATTATTATGGATGGCATCTTATCCCAAAATATGAGATGACCGTTCCTGAGTGTTGTCCCTCCTTTACCAATTGTACTCCTGAACTTTTAATAATTGACATTCAACAAAGTTTTGTCATGTATTTCTCGAAGGGGAGAAAGAAGAGATATCGTAATGATGGATTGGTTTGTGTTTTAGGTGAGATAGAATTATGTCATACAGTCTACCGTCATTTGATCTTCTATTTGAAGATCCTGGACAAACGGAGGATATTATGCAATAAACTTCCATGAAAATCCTGTACATTATGTGAACACTGTTCGTAATAAAATAGAGCTGTTATTATCATTATTAGTTGGAGTATGATAAAACCCATAATGAAATATAAAAGTGTGTTCCTTAATCAAAATGAGCCTAAAACTGCTGTGCCAAGCGGTGTTAAGAAGTGATAGTGTGGTGAGAGCAGGCTACTAGCCGATTAGTTGGCACTAATCTACGTTAATGTCTAGGTCACTAATATGGGCCGTGAGAAAATATGAACAAGGCTGATTCAACAACCAATCACAGCAAAGTTAACGTGGCAAAATATGATTCGCAGATAGAGAACTCTATTTGTCAAGGAATCCCGAAACAACCAATCAGAAGCCTGCGTTTGTCTGCAACCAATCAGATGACTGCGCCTTTTCTACTTGCATAAGCTATAATAATGTATGTGAAATATATATAAATACGTGTTGATTTTCATAATAAAACGATCTGTTGCCTGGCCCTTGTCTTCTGTTGTTACAATAGGACTAAGTAGTATTAGAGGATTAAACTAGTGTCTATAAATCTCTATTATTTGAGTCTAGCATATCATCTAACCAGGCCGTTGACTCAGTAATTCATAGATGACTGGTTCAATTTCTGCCACGACCCTTTAACCATCACTGACTATAATATTAGATGGTTGGAGGAAATTGGAAGGAAGTCCAGTCTGACCTAGGTTTCGTTCTTGTTGGCACTCTACAGGTGGCAAGGCGTATCTGGAACCCTGAAGAAAACCGTACACCTTCTGAAATTCGAACCCGCGTCACCCAGTGCTGCAGTCAGAGATGTTACCATTGGGCTATTCGGGTTCGCGATTCACCTCCTGTAAGACTAACTATATTGGATTCTTTGATTGAACACTAGTCAGTGACTAGTATAATGTGTCTAGTCCTTCTTTTAGTTCAGACTGAATTTTATGTGTCAGGTATCCAATACAGTCCTACAGAGAGGAGATCAATCGGGAGCCCGAATAGCTCAATGATAACGTCTCTGGGTGACGCGGGCTCGAATCTCAGAACGGACATGATTTCCTTCAAGGCAGTTGAAGATACGCCTTGCTAACTGTAGAGTGCCAATTAGCACAAAACCTAGGTCAAAGGCTTGTTTCAGATTGTCTCCAACCATCTAATTTCATCAAACGGATGTGCAGCATGATGGCGAGCTGCCTGGAATGGTGGCCATACTGCAAACCTGACTGATAGAATTCAGTCTGCATCAAAGTAAGGACCAGTCACATCACGATAGTTACTAGTGTCCAATCAAAGCATCACTGACTATGTTAATACCAGTCTGCTGATACAGGACTATTTTATACAGTAACACCATTAGTTTATAGCCTACTCCACTCCCTTCAAATTCAATATGACTAGGATCAACAGATGAACCGCCAATACGATTAATTTATATTTACACTAACTTTTAGCTCATTCATATAACAAATGATGATTGTAGTGAAATGCTGGCCATGGCTATCAATTGAGTCTCACAGCAGGTCAACTGGTAGGTCATCAGACTAGAAATTCGAAGATCATTGGTTCCATTTCTGTTACTGAAAAAATATATATTTTTCTCTTATCTTCAATCATCACCCATTACATGAATGAGATGGTTATTGACTATTCTTAAACCTCCTGCATGAACAGAAAGATGGTGAAACATACTGTCAAAGATATGTTTGAATTCGTAGAGAAAATCATGATATCTAAGAACATAATATCACTTATTCACAAATGTACCTTTGGTACAAACAGTTAACTTTTTATTATATATCAACAAGTGTATAGCTAGTCGATAAATATTGACATTCCAACAGAAATCTTTAAACAATTTCGTTATTAAGGTGTACCACTTATGTAAATTTGAAATTTGATGGCATACTTTACAGACTAGTCAATGGGGTGGTAGTGATCTCTCCATTGGGTCTATTTCAGCTGATCTCTTTCTAATTAAACTAAAGAATGTTCCTATAAAAAAAACCTTATCAGAAAAATCTCATTTTATTATCGGTAATTGAATGATTCCTTCATTCTTTGTGAAAACAGTTGAGACAGAAACGCAATAAGAAGTAAATTCCGCTATCGAATTCACATGTGAAGAGGAATCCCAAAATATAATTGTCTTCTCAGATGTCCTTCTTACAAGAACACCAGATGGTAGCATAAAAAGAAATTTGCATAGAAAGAGCACTTGGACAAGATAATATATATACATTTTCACAGCTTTGTTCGTCTCCAGTGCAAAAGAAATACAGTAAGGACCCTCAGACACAGGGTCAGAGCTACATGCTCAGAAGAAGTAATTGAAGATGAATTAAGCATTGTATATGATACTTTGATCGAAAATAGCTGTCCCGAAAAATATATCAAGAAACACATGACAAAGAAAGCGAAAAAGGACTACTCACTATCTGTAAACACCAAGCCACTTTATATACAAATACAATTCAAGAGCGATATACCAAGTTAGATAATTACAAGGAAATTAAGAAAATCAGTTCAAAGAACTTTTAATGCTGGCGAACTACACGTCTTATTCTCTACACGACCAACAGTGTTGCCTTGATTGAAAAATGAAGTACCTAGACTAGCCGCTTCAAAGTGTATCTACCAATTCAACTGCACTTGTGGATCGAGTTATACTGGGCGTTGCTCTACAAACTTTATTTTTTGTACTCAGTCGGGAAAACCTATCAGTGTGGCGTGGCTAAATAAAGGTGCAGTGGAAAACATCATCAAGAGCCTGGCTATTAGACCATCTGGTCCACACTGACCGGCTACTAAGCCAGCTAGAATTGAAGAATCCTTCTCCACTATCATCTATCGGCTACCTAATAAATTGCCAAAGCTATCCCGGTACCGAAGACTCCGAACACTATTGCGACTAGCCTAAAGCAACCATCGTTGTGTGTGTGTGTGTGTGCAGAAGAAACAGGTCCAGTTAGCCAGCCATTATTACTGCCCTGACCGGCCTCCTGTGGAGCTTATGAATTCATGAATCTTGTATTACTATTTTTCCTAATTTTTCTGATATTCATTGTGTAGAGTAGTGTTATGTTGATGCATATTATCACGTCTACAGAAGCTACTGAACTGTAATCAATTGATAATATTGATTGATTCAATGTTATTTACACAACATTAATATTGTTAATATGCCCTTATCTTTCATTATTGTGGATAGATATATAACTGCAGGATGTGATGAAGAGCAGTTTATCGAAAAGAATATCCACTGTTCAGTAGTAATCAGTCATTTAAATTAGAATTATTAGTAGTAACTTAAATTTATTCAAGCACAAATAAATATTTAATTCAATTTTAGATTTTCCCGTCGATTCATTGATTAGACAGAAGTGCTTGGTCTCAGGTTGACATATCGGCTGCTTGTGTAGATGCTTCGGTGGTCTCTGAGAATGTAATTAGAAGTTGATTGTTGAATGTTGACTAGCAGCAGAATCCAGGATGCGCATTTCGTCCTATTTGGGATTGGCTTGTCTCGAATAACCTGCATTCCACAGTTAGTGATGATTTTCCCACCTAGAATCCTAGTTCAAGTGGTCTGGTGAATAATAATAATAATTTGCTTTATCCCCAAACAGTAATTATGATAGAGAATGGAATTCTCAGCATTTCACTATAGTATTGCATCCAGTTTGTACATTAACAATAGCTAAAATGCTACATAGATTAAGGGAATCTCAGTTCACTTTAACAACAACATGTTGGCATGTCGGTAGCAAAGCCAAACTTGAACAGAGTGTTTGAAGGCGTTAGAAAAGCAGATACCAGCATATTTACTGGCGTAAGCGGTAACAAAACGGTCGAGATATACAGGGTGTGAAAGAGCGAAGAAGAATGTTTTTAAATAGATTTTGTAAGGAAGAGAGGAACAAAGCAGCACATAACAGATAAAGAGGGAGAGAGAAAAGGAAAAGAAAGAAAACGTTGTACCCATAAATTATATGAGTTGGAAAGACGAGATCCAATTGTTCTACTGACTATTTGATACGTTATAGGTATCACGATGCCTAATGCTTTCTTTATCGCACAGAACACGAGCTGAGTAGGGTATGGTTGAGTTTTTGTACTTACTAGTGCGAGCATATAGTTTTCTATATAGGCTTCTGGTCTTCCTCCCTGATGAGATACAAGGGGAGAGTTGTGAATGAAGAGGGTGATGTGAGTTAGATAGAATGGATTTAGCCCGTTTTGACGTTTAAAACTATGGGTACTGAGTTTGTGCCTCGGTGAGAACATCATCACTCACTGCGAAATGCAGGTACACCCAGTTGGCGGGTCCCAAATAGGACGAAACGCTCTTTATCCTTGATTCCACTGCTATTCACTATCCACCAATTAACTAAAAGTAAATATTCTCTTACTCAAGAAGAATTGTTTGTATAGAGGTCAAAGATTTCTTAAATAACGTCATTCAAACAAACAATTTTTGAAAAAGAAACGATAAATACTCAAAATTCAACAAAATCATGTATTATAAAAAAGAATAAACAATGCGAACTTACTCTGTGATGTGAAAAGTTGGGATGATTAATATACCCCACATGATGCCCACTGAAATTTTCATTTGTTGTTTCGTCATTATCGTCATGATGGTTATCAGCGGCATTAGGTCCTTCTTTCAATTTATGATGTTCAACTTCACTAGGATTACTTTCATGGGAATAGCCACTTTCAAGGAATAATAATAAACTGATGCAGAGAAATGATATTAGATAAATGTTGATTGAACGCATCACAATTACAATTATGAAGCCTGATTAACTGTATGCCAAAGTGAAACCGAACATGTATATATATATGTATATAAGTGACCTACAAATTCACCAAAAACCTTTCACTAAACATTCACTATAATTCTGATTGGTTCATCTATTTGAAAATGATTATTCAACTGGTTTACGTTAAAAAAAAGGAGATGCAGAGGGAATTGGTGAACTCGTAACCGATCAGTGTTAGATGTATTTGGCTTACACAACGTGAAGCGATTGATGTATAGGATTGTGTTTATGTGTGCTGTCATATATATATATATATATATATATATATATGTAATTAGTCCAAATGTAGATATTGAAACATTGAACAAGATTTTTTAGCGTTCATCTTTCAAGCACATACATAAGTTACACACAGTAGTTGTTTATCTTGATTGATTGATTGAAAGAAAATTCAACTAAATAAACAACATTTTAAATCTTTTGGGTACCTGCGCATAATACATATAAATTATATGTTATAAATTAAGACTTAATTCTGAAATAATTCATAATAATAATGTATGATATTATTTATTTAATAAAACAATTTTTTTCGCTAAGACTACATTTCGAGTTTTAATTTCACGTCTAGTTTACGAGACATCATAGTCCCAGCCAAACAATTCCAGTGATTATGGCAACCGTGAAGAATAGACATACTACAGTCAAATGGCCTTGAACCAACCAATCAGATAGTTTGGCATTATAAATAGGGTTAAGGTAAGATTGCTAGGAAGATTATGAAAAGCATCCATCCATTTGTAATACTGAGTGATCTGATTGGTTGGTTCAAGGTCATTTGACTGCGGTATGTCTATTCGCTGATACTAGATGGTTGGGGGCATTCGGCAGGAAGCTTAACCTGATCTAGGTTTCTTGCTGGTTGGCACTCACCAGTTAGTTAGCAAGGCGTATCTGCTACCGCCTTGAAGAAACTCATGTCCTGAAACTGCCGGTGATTCCCAAACTAGGATGAAATAGCTGTCTAGTACTTCTAGGTTTTCCAATGATTGTCTAACCGATATCAGTCCGTGGTGGAACTCGCATTAGCAAATTTAATTCTTACAAACCAACTCTTGAAAATTAATCTGATGCTCTCTAGTGACCTGCTACAAGATGGAGTTTCCTGGAGTTCTGGTGAGAAGTCGTGACCAGTGAAGTCCATCCAGTCGGGAGTGAGGATGGATGTCCCACCAACGATATTGGTTGGTAGTCGTGGTAAATCACGAATTGATAGAAGTTAGAATTCATGGATTTGCCATTGAATCGGGTCCTAGTGGCTGAATGGTCTACGAGCTCGCTAGCCTTGTAACCAGAAGGTCTTTGGTTAGAACCCTGGTATAAATAAAGTATTTCGCATTATTATTTGGTTAGTTGACTGGGATACTTCAAATGTCTGTCTTCATTGTCGACCCAGAAGTTCATCTATGTGTTTAATTATTTTCTTGATTTACAGCTTGATTCCACACTGTATTTTTGGTACAAGTATGGAATTTTCAGCATAGATATCGGTAGCCCAAATTTCGTAGACCGACCATAGATATCAGGTGTGCGTCGGCGGGTGCTCGAACCTCGGACCATATGCATGGTCGGCGAGAGTCCTAACCACTGTGCCACCGACGCTATTATTATTATGGAGTACATAAATTCTATGCCAAAACTGTCCGCTGAACATTTATTTTCTAAAGGCATTTGATAGTTCTTTAATAGTAGTCAATGTTTAAAGGAAGCTGTTGGCAGGAAGCTCTACATCTCAATTTCTTGGTTATTGGAACTTATCAACAGGAAGTATTCCTGAAGTGTTCAGACACACACACACTGCTGCTGATGATGATCACCAAGACACAGGAGACTAAAGTTCAGAGCCTCATACTTACTAACTTCTTCAAACATCTAATACAAAACTAAAGTGCAGATTTATACGGAGATTAGTTGATTCATTTCGATTAGTGAACACATTAATAACATGAGGGATTGGTTCTAACAAAGATATTAGGGATTACATTGTTACACTAGTTAGGATTTCTGACTGGTTCAACGTAGATTTCCTTACGAACCGAAACCAGGCAATACATGTCCGTTCTTTAGCAAAGATTATACTCGATACCTTCATATTACAAGATCATCACGTTGACTACCTATTTGTCGGATTAGAATCCCCTAACTAGTGAATTCTAACTTTTCTCACGTGGTGACATAGCGCTACCATAGGTCCGTGAATTCCAGTCCAATATAATGCCAAATGATAAACGGCTTTGCCTTGTAACTTAAAGGTCCTAGATTCGGTCGATGCTATTCAGGGCCGAGTGGTCACACCACTGAAGAGTCCAAAACGGCTTCATAGAGTTCAATGATTATGTAACTGGTGTTATTTCGTGACAAAATCTACACAGAAATTATGATTCCGTCACAGTTATTGAGCCTGTTATACCATAATTTAACTGACTGCTTATTTTGCTCGATATAACTAAACTGGACTTGTAGGAGTAGCCCCTCTGTTTATCACACCAGTTAACGAAACAGCTGAATGATGACTGTTCACAGAGAATTGCATCATTCATACAAGCTGTCAGTGAACTGATCAATATCAGAACATTTAGAACAAATAATTTATTGATGTATGGTATTACGAATCATTTTTTTCGTACAAAAATAATTTGACCTTGATAATACAAATTGTGACCTTGATGATTTAAATGTAAACCATTTGACAGACTACTAACCATATTATTATGATAAAATAATTAGTTCCCTTTATGAATGTCAAAGAAACAGTAAGAAGACCTAGTTTATATGAAACGTGTACTTGGATTTACTTCCTCAACACATTTCGAACATTCTGATCGCATACACACACACACACATACGAATACTTATCATACACATTTATATAGGAGGCAGGAGAGCATGAATTCTTACAATACAGGTCAAATTATGTACCTGTGAAGGTCACAATTAAGAGGTAGGAAGATGATGTAAGGATCTGGAGTAAGAAAGATGAAGGAAGTGGTTGAGAATATTATTAAGTTTTTGATGTAGTTCTATTCTCTGAGCTGGCTGGATGGTTTATACCTGCGAAGCTTTCATTGACCCAACACTAGGCAACATCTTCACTTCAGCGCATACTTCAATTTGTTGAAGTGAGCTTTTAGATTTCGCCACGAATTTATTAGTCATCTCTTCTGGGGGTGGGGGATGATCTTGAACGTGGTTGGTTGTTTTTGTGTGTTTTCACACCCTCTAGGCTAATTGTATTGGTATTGGTGCCGATTGTTTCTTTGGCGTGAAGTTTGAACCTTTGTGGGCAAAGTTAAACTTTCGACACCACTAGCAACCAATCAGCAAACAACTTTGAACGGACCAATCACATTAAATAGGCATATATGATGAATGGAAACGCATATTTATAGAAAAAAGCATAAAGAAGGATGAAACGGTTACAAGGAGTATCTTTCTCGAGTATGTGAGAGAAACATCCCTCAGTTTAGCATGTGGCTGTCAATGGAGAAGTCACAGCACATCCTGTACTTATATTCATCTGAACGGCTGTAAATGAGATCCTTTTCAGATCCATTTATAGCCCTTATCTTGTTTTTCAAGCGGCCCCAAAAACCTTCAGTGGAATTCGTATGAGTCCTCGTAACGGGATCCACACAGCAAACAAGTGATTGTCTCTATTTTACACGAAGCAATATCTCTGCAATGCTGGTACCACTAAACTGTTGAGACAAGACTATTCTCAGTCTCGGCAGCTGCTGCTCTCACTGGCTGTTTCAACACCCAGTAATTGCAGATACAGAAAATCTGGGTTAGGGAGAGATGTGACCTAGCGGAAAAATTTCCCACGAAATATTAAAATTATCAGCTTACCCACTCTAATGCTAGCATGCTTCAAACATATAGCACAACGATGAACAAACCCACCAGTTGATCTGCTATAGCTTTATAAAGTCATGATATCAACACAAGAACAAATTCGCTCCTTCCGGAGCAATTTAAATCCAGGCAATACTGGAAAACACTAACCTCCTCAAATTGCAGCCGTAACCTTGTAAGGTCACGCATTAGAAGTGAATCAAGCGCTCTACAACATTGAACTACGTTCGTGAATCTCATTGGATAATTCACTGATAGGTAGTTAGTGGTGTCGAAAGTTTAACTTCGCTCCTTTGTGTGTGGGATTTCCTTCTTATCATTAAGGAAATTGATCCTTGGTTGTAAATTGGATTACCAAGACAAGTTCAGAGTAATAATAAATAATATCTGGAGACGTAAGATAGATTTAACTCTTTTTATGAACCAAGCTTCAACGAATTTAAGTATATGACGTGATCCCACCTTGTTTTATATATGTGCTTGAAGGCATTATTGAAATCAACACCTTGTTACCCGTCTTTATGATGTGCTTCGCTAGAGATGATTTTGGACATACTTTTCCTGGATGAGATTATTTCTGATGATTTTATTTGTTATTGCAGCCACTTGGTACATGTTCTGTATAGTTTGGTTTGTAAGGGTTAGTTAGGTTTTTACGAGTTGATCACGGATTGATATCGGTTAGAGAACCATTGAAAACCAGGGAGTACAGGACAGCCGCTGTTTCAGCCTAGTTTGGGAATCATCGGCTGTACGCACCCACTGGGATTTGAACCAAGGACCTTCCGGTTACAAGGCGAGCTGGCTCGTATACCATTCAGCCACTGGGACCCGATTCAATGGCTAGTGCATGAATTCTAACTTTTACCAATTCGTGACTTAGCGCGACTGGTACCAACCAATGTCATCGGTGGGAAGTCCATCCTCACTCCCGACTGGATGTATCTCACTGGTCATGAATTCTCACCAGAACTCCAGGAAACTCTGTCCTTTAGCAAATTACTAGCGAGCATCAGATTAATTTTCTATTGTTTGTTTGGAGTCGCGCTAAATCACGAATTGGTAGAAGTTAGAATTCATGGATTAGCCATTGAATCGGTTCCCAGTGGCTGACTGGTCTACGAGCTCGCTAGCCTTGTGATGGGAAGGTCCTGGGTTCGAATCCCAGTGGGTGCGTTCTGCCGATAATTCCCAAACTAGGCTGAAACAGCGGCTGTCCTGTACTCCCTGGTTTTCAATGGTTCTCTAACCGATATCAATCCATGATCAACTCGTAAAAACACGTACTGCAGCCAAAACCTACATAAACTGATAGATCCCCCGACGTATTCCTTGTATTCCAGCTGTAAAAAAAGAGCTTTAGTGGCACATCCGCGTTACAGTCGGTACTTTAGTGTCACTTTCAGCTGACTCCACAACTGTCCACAATCTTTCATTTCCTCTTCACATAATGTGTTTATATCAGTCGTGGCAGAGCTTAGTGAACGTCTACAGTAGACTTCAAGAAATGCTTTCGGTGATGTACGTACACCTTGTCTTTGGGTCATATAGAAGGACTAACTTAAGATTAGTGGTAAAAGTATTTGAACGTTGTGTTCTTGTTCTGGAAGCTGTGGATCTCAAAATTAATTTTAGGTTAATGAGCGGCTTTCTTATCTTCTCAATCCTGACTAGCTTTGACTTCTTCATCTATGCTGCCTGTAGTCAACTTTTACAAATAGTGACTTTGAATCTGCGCC